AATTGAAGTACAACGATCACTTGGGGGGGCGACAATTCCACCAACCTTTCAGCGTATTTCATGACCAGCATAGTAGCTGCTCAGGTTGGAGTCGCTCACAGAACAAAAACCATTCTGAAGTCTTAGCTGCCTCAAGAAATTATTTTTTAAAAAAATAACTAAGGATGATCGTTTTCCCTTTTAAAAGGTTCAAGACATTTAGATCATTGGTCCAAGGTATATGGTGTTGCTGTTGTTTCTAAAGAACTGTCTTCTGGCCTCAGCCTGGGGACTTCAGATCCTATCGGGGCAAGTCCAGGAACGCGGCTTCAGATAGTCCATGAAAGTGGGCTACAAGACCAAGGAGAAATTGCAGTGTTAGAGATCATGGGAAGAACTAGCTTGTTGCATTACAATCACTACACCACACCAGCATGCGCAGTTGAAGAGAAAAGAAGAAGTTGAGATTGGATTTATACCCCACCCTTCACTACCTAAAGCAGTCTCAAAGCGGCTTACAAACTTCTTTCCCTTCCCCTCCCCACAACAGACATCCTGTGAGGGAGAAGGGTGGGAGAGCACGGCGTCTGCGGTCACTTGAGAGCTGAGCTCCGAGCGACCGATTGTTTCTTCGGATTTAAAGGGTCTCTGAACAATCAGAGACCACCCCACGCTCCGAGGTAGGAGCAGTGGGGGGCAGGGGGCTTGAGCTGAGGTCCTAGTGAGAAGGCTACTCACTGGGAGACCTAATTAGCTCACTCTGAAGCAAGCCGGAGGAAGAAGCTCCCCAATTCTACTTAACTGGCCAGAACCGAAGGGAGAACTTTCCAACTTTGGCTGTGTTTTGCCAGAGTAGAGGGAAATGGCTAGGGAAAAATACCAACTAACTGCTAACAGAAGCGCAAGCGAAATCTAAAGAGAGATTTTAAAAAGAAGTAATGGAGTTTTGAGAGATAAACTGATATAAGATTTGTGGATGTATAAAGGGCTTGCAAGTCTCCACCCTTTCTGCGATCTCAATTGTTCCCTCCATTAGGAGGGGGGCAGGAGGCCCATTATAATAAGTGGGGTGAAATGGTAGAGCCGACCTGGAAATTTAATAAAGACTAAAAGTGCTTGCTATGTCCATAATTGACTATAATTGACTATTGATGGTTTTAAAACTGACTCCCCCCCCCCCACGGAGCGCGGCTTTGTACGGAACAGCTGGAAAAGACGGTGACCTTGAGCAAATAATAACAAAAGTCCAGGCCAAGGGACACTGGCGACTTTCCAGCACTGGGCAGTGAACCAGAACTGGGCTTAAACCATAACACTGAGATAATAGAGGCTGGGAAGTGAGCCAGACGGAACAAAACAATAAATAAAAGAGACAACAGCAAAACTGGTTGGAATTTGTATAAAGCTCAGAGAACAATCAGCAAAATGTCAACTGTTAAAAATGTTCACACTGCTAAGACTACACAATCTTCACCAGGGACGGGGGGGTGACTGTTAGTAAATTAGCAGTACCCGTGCAAAAAGAAATGCAAAGCATGATCGTGGAAGCAGTCGATCCAATCAAAGCTCAGATGGATCAAACTTTAAGACAAATAACATAAATAACTGAGCAATTTACAAATAGTATGCAAGCCATTCAAAAACAGGTGGCTGAAAATTCAAAGGACATAGCAGAGCTGAAGAAAAACAATGAGAAGACAAAGAAGAAGATTAAAGTGGTGGAAGAGGACACAAGAAGGATGGAAGATAAACAACGGGTATATGAACAAGAGCTAATACGATTGCAGGTAGAAAAAGTGGCATATGTTTTAAGATTCCAGAACATTCCAAAGGAAAAAGATGAAGACCTGTCAGGGAAGATGGCCAAATTACTGGCAGATCATATGGACGTGGAAAAAGATGAAGTGGAAAAAGAGTTTGATCAAGCATTTAGAATTAAATTTAGCCTATGCAAGACGGATGAAAGTTCCACGGGAAATACAAGTACGCTTCTATAAGAGGACGGTAAGGGACAAAGTATTGAGGGAAGTAAATGCAAAATCATTAATGAAAGATGAAACCAAAATAAAAGTTTTGAAGGAAATTCCCTGGAGGGTTAGGGAAAAAATAAGAGAATAGTCTAAATTGATATAGCTACTGAAGAAAAATGACATTCAATACAGATGGTTACTTCCAGAGGACATGGTTTTTACCTATCAAGGGAAAAAATACTGGATCACATCTATCTTTAAAGCGGAAGACTTTCTAGGAAAATATGGGGAAGAACTTGGAATGGAAGAGGAGGAGAAAGAAGAAGAAGAGGAGGAAGGGGAGAGAAAAGAAGAGGATCTACAGGTGGAAGGAGCAGAAGCCAACCTTAATCCCAAAGAGAAGAGAAGCCAGGTTGTCCGAAGGAAATCTCCGATTGGAACACGGTACTGGACAAAGGTGAAAAGGCACCAACAGAATGGCAAGAACAATGGATAAAGGGGATTTCAGGTGTGGCGCAGCAACAGGCGGTTTTTTGGGGAGGCTCCCAAGCCGCCAGATCCTCTTTTTGTTCTTTTTGAAGCTCCCCAGCCTTTCCAGTCCGGGGGAGCTTCGTCTGATCTCTCGGAGGGAGAGCAGATAGCAAGAGGCTTGTTTTCGGCCACTCACACACACAGCAAGTGTGTGGGAGAGGCCGTTTTTGCCTCGATGCAGGAGCGATCGAGGGAGCAAAAAGCATGATTTCCCACCAATTAGGTAAACAGAAATTGGATATAATTTGTTTAAAAGAAACACATATTCGTGAAAAAGATAAGAAATATTTGCTAAATAAAAAATTAGGAAAAACGTTTATAGCTTCAGACAAGAGGGAAAAGAAGAGGGGAGTGACAATAATAGTTAAAGAAAACCTATTCCCTGAAAAAGTTCATGCTTCAGATGATGGGAGAATTTTGATGGTGGAAATCCAAAATCAAGAGAAAAAGATTTTGGTAGTAAAAATGCTTCAGATGATGGGAGAATTTTGAAGGTGGAAATCCAAAATCAAGAGAAAAAGATTTTGGTAGTAAATATTTATGCACCAAATCAAGACCAAGAGAAATTTTATAAGGAACTCCATGAACTTATTGTTGGACAGGGCTGTCAAAATATTTGTTTACTCACCCCACCGCCCCATGCCATCCCGGGGTTCAGAGGCGTCGTCGCCCGCCGACTGTGCGAGCCAACGTAGGCTGGAGGGCTGCTGGACCTCCTGATGGCCCCTGGTATTTTTGGCCCCTGTGTAACAGAGGGTTGGACTGGCTGATGTGTGACACAGTGTATTTATCTTTTGTATATGGTTTCCCATTTGTGCTTACCTTACAATAGTAGGCTGATGCAGTGCTAGGGGCAGGCCTTCTGTGCTGCTGCTAGTCCACCAGTGGCTCTTAGCCACAAGGTATAGATAGGAACTCTCAGTGTGGGGCAAGTGATGCTCTATATTCTTGGTACTTGGGGGGGGACAGTGGGAGGGTTTCTGGTGTTCTGGCCTCACTGCCAGACCTCCTGAGGGCACCTGGTATTTTTGGCTGCTGTGTGACACAGAGTGTTGGACCTGGATGGGCCACTGGCCTGATCCAACATGGCTTCTCTTATATTCTTATGTCTAGCACAGTGATGCTCTGCATTCTTGGTGCTTGGGGGGCAAGAGTGGGTGGGCTCCTGGAGTTTTGACCCTGCTGGTGGACCTCCTGAGGGCACCTGGGTTTTGTCCAGTGTTTCCTCTAAGTGCAAGGTAGCTCACAGTTTTTTAGCCTCCGGCTCATACATTTTTGTCTTAATTCAGGAAAGATGCCTCCAGAGCAAACTAATTTATGCAGTAGCCAAATTGCTCACTCATAGCTTTAATGCCAGTCGCTCACAAAGGAGCATCCCGGGATGTGATATCAGAGTCATGTGACAGGAAGAGGGGGAGCTGGACCATAACCAACAGACCGAAAGGGCCAAGGACAAGAAACAAAAATCAGTCATCAAGAGGTTCCGGTGATGTCAGGGGGTGTGGCCTTATGACACACTTCCGGTGATGTCAGGG